ACTGAGAAAAGGCTAATGAATTTAGCTATAAGGAAATTGTTAGTGACCTTTGAGAAAATAGTTTCCATGAAGTGCAGGTGTTAAGGAGTGAGCTGTGAGAGAGATGAAGCTGCACACATGACTCTTGCAAGAAATAAGGTAGGCAGGAGAAAGAGAAAGCTGAAAATAGTGTCAAGGATAGTCTAGAGGGAGGGCAAACTTTTGTTTCTCTGTCTGTATTTCTCTGTTTAGACAGAAGCAACTTAAGAATATAGTGAGAGGAAGAAGGCAAACAAAAGGGAACAGAGAATGAAGGTATGGAGGGCTAGGCCCAATTCAGGCTCTTTCTATGGTTAGAGAAGTTGGTATTCGGAGTGGTGCTAAACATTTGTACCATGCCAGTTGTTGTCTCTGTCATTTCCTTGCACAATGATGAGCCATGAGCCAGGGTTGTGTGCCAGGCCCAGTTCCCTAGATGAAATCTACTCCTTTTCATCGAAGGAAGCAGATCCTAATGCAAGTGAGACATTAGCGTGGTGGCATAACCTTAAATCTCCTATAACCCATGATTAGACAAACTCATTCTTCAACATCAGCACTTGATTGCTGACAGCAGATGAGTGATAGCCCACCGAACAAGGGCTCCGACATACCAACCACATCAAGTCCCTTCGCCTGTGGCCAAGTGTCGCTGCCTCGGTGGACTTCCCAGCTGTCAGGACAGAAAGCTAAAGAACACATTTAGTCAGAGCTTCCAAACCTCTCTCAGAGAGCTCAGCCTTTCCTGGGGTCTCTGAACCATATCAGACCTATAGGTTATCCCTCATCCAGTCCAACACCCCCACCCTTCCATTCAGAGAGAATGGCAATGAAAGGAAAAAAGGGAGAGTGTGGCAGCCTGTGAGGACACTCCACTCCACCACCATCCCCATCCCTTAGCAAAGGACTTCTGAATAGTTTCTTTGCCCAACCCAACCTTCTCTGTCTCTGCCCCTTTTTTGTTTTTGTTTTAGGCATAAAGATAAAAATTCACAAGGTCAGTGTTGTACTTATAGCCTTTTAAAGTCCTATATAATACTCTAGTATATTGTACATATTATATAGTCCTACATAATGCTCTTCCCTTTTGGGTTATTAAGTATACTTAATGTGGTTTCTACGTTGTTTTTAAAATCTTTTTCTGAATCATATATTGATACTAGATGATATTTTCCCATACCTCTTGAAAATAAAATGTTAGCAGAAAGTAAAATTATTTTTACTACTTATTATTTATAAAAAATGTATTCACTGTATTTTTTCAAGCAGTGTTTGCAGGTTTGTGGTAGATGTAATTCTGGGTACATTTAGTGGGTTGAAGGGTTAAAATACCCAGCGCTGTCGCATATGGCAGTGAGCAGAATCACAGATGTTGATGATACCATGTAATTAGTATTCTTTTATGTAAATGAAGGCTGTCAGCATGTTACCATAGTGTCTACTCTCTCTGAAGCTGGAATTTATGCCACTTGGTCTCACCAAGACCAGGCAGGATTATTCCGTGGTCCTTAGTTAAGAACTGAGAAGAAATGTGACGAGAGAGAAAAAGAGAGAAGAAATGGAAATCTCCCTTTTTTTCCTATTTTGCTTTTGTTGATTTTCTCCCCAGAAATTTTATTTCTGGTGATGCAGTTATGCATTTAGGATCTGCTAAGAAATTTGCTATTTGAGAATAATTGAGATAGCCTAATTAAAAGGCATATTTTCAAGCTATAGATTTATTTTGAAAGATGATTATAATGTTCAATCATCTCTCTTATGGAGACTATTTTTTTTTGTCACCTCCTGGCCAGTATGGGGAATCCCAACCCTTGACCTTGGTGTCACTAGCACCACATTCTCCCAAGTGAGCTAACCAGTCAGCCCACTCATATGGAGACTTTTTAAAAAATGATGTGATAAGCCTAGAACTTTCTCATGAGAACAAAAGGCAAAAGTTGAAAAGATTTCATTATCTTTTCATTTAATACTTAGTGATACTTATTTATGGCAGAATGGTTTTAAATATTGATTATGGTTTCTAGCTCCAGTTGATTCAGATTTTTAAAATAAAACTATGGTAATTAAAAAAGCAAAAGCTCATATTTTGTCAGGTTTAGTTTCCCCATATGCAGATTGATCCAGGGTGTGTAGGACATTTACTTAGAGCTGCTGATCTAGTTAGTGATGTAGGACTGTTTAGATACAGCATGTTCTTTCCCAATTACACTGTAAGTTGATCTGTTTTGGATATTGGGTGCGTGTTACCCTGGATGATGTATGTTTTAAGTGGAAATGTTAGAATTATTATGACGGGGCCGGCCCGGTGGCGCACTGGATAGTGCACCGCTTGGGAAGCGCGGTGGCGCTCCCGCCCGAGGGTTCGGATCCCACGTACAGACCGGTTCCCGCTCACTGGCTGAGCGAGGCGCGGGAGCAGCACCGAGGCTTGCGATCCCGTTGCCGGTCCCCGGTCCGGTACTGGGGCAACACTGAGGGTTGCGATCCGTTGCTGGACACGGAAAAACAGACAAAAAAAAAAAAAAAAAAAAAAAAAAAAAAAAAAAAAGAATTATTATGACCTTTGAGAATATGAAGGGAAAGCTGTACGCTTCAGAAAAATATAAAATAGAATTCCTCTTTCTGCCCGTGGGTGTTAGGCCCTGTTCTGAAATCAAGTGGTCAGATTATGTATGAAAGGTGAGGTAAATACATTGTCTTTCTTGAACTGAGCATACATGAGATTGTGTTCTCTTTATTCTCCATTTTATGTGTTGATTAAGGGGGGTTTTTTCTTTTGTGTCACTTCGGGAGATTTTCATTTCATGATCAGGTATGTTTTTCCCCTAGAGAAGCTAGTCTGCCTAGCTCAAGTCAGTGTGGGAGGTGCAGAGTAGCCCTGTGTTTTCCTGAATGGATTTACTCTGCCATATGGCAGGTTAGTGAGTCACCACGACAGATTTGTAATGGGAAAAGGGCTGTGCAGGGAAGGATGTGCGTGATCAGCAGATTTATAGATCAGAAAATGAAATCGGAAGAAAGAATTTCCAGAGCGCCCTTTCCATTCGACAGCTCTCCATGGAGAGGGCGTGGAATGATTTTTTAGTGTTTTTCTATTTTGGCTTCGATTGTTCCAGCATATTTTTTCCAGCACAGGAGTTGATTTTGTATGGCATCAGTGTTCTGGGTGTTGTGTTGCTGTTTTTATTTACAGAAATATTCTCTTTGTAGGATTTGAAGCTGTGCTGTATTTTATGATAAGATCTTGGTAGCAATTAAATTCCTGAAAACACATCAAAGCTAAAATGGAGATTTGCCAGGCGTCAGGTTTTCAGTTATATGGGGAGGCTATTCAGATATAAGTCAGCAAGTACTGAATCTTTTGAAGGAATGAAAACAAAAAGAAAAGCTGAGTGAGCTAAAGATAGTATGTCCTGGTGTGTTTAAGTCTTTGCTATCTTAATACCGCAGCCACTAGCCACATGTGACTGTTTAAATTTAAATTATTTACAATTAAGGGCTGGCCAGTTTCTCAGTTGGTTAGAGCACAAGGGTTCCGATCCCCATACCGGCCTGCTGCCCCCCCAAATTAAATTAAAAGTTCAGTACCTTAGTCTCACTGGCCACATTTTTTTTTTTTTTTCCTTTTTGTCTTTTTTTGTGACCGGCAACGGATTGCAACCCTCAGTGTCGCACCCGTACCGGACCGGGACCGGCAACGGGATCGCAACCCTCGGTGTTGCTCCCGCACCTCGCTCAGCCAGTGAGTGGCCGGTCTGTATGTGGGATCCAAACCCTCGGCGGGAGCGCTGCCGTGCTTCCCAAGCGGCGCACTGTAGCAGTGCGCCACCGGGCCGGCCCCTCACTGGCCACATTTCAAGCGCTCAATAGTCACGTGACTA